TCCTTGCAAACTTTCCATCTCTTTTTTCATAGCTAGCTCCCATTTTTCCTTTTCTTCATAAGGGAGTTTTAATACTTCCTCATATGTATTAGGTGTTATTTGTTCACCATCCATATGCATTATGTAATCTCTGTATTTACCTGGTATTTGATTTCTATTGTTTCTAATAGCTCTTTCTGGTTTGCTATGGTTGTCATGCAAATATCTTGCTTCCTTTTTTGTTAATGTGTCTGTCTTTATTTTGTGCTGACTATTTGTCCAAGTTTTGGTTTTGTTTGTATTTTTGTTGATATTTTGATTTTCTATAGTTCCTTCCTCACAAGATTTTGTATCTTTGCATTTATCTGGAAATATTTCATTAAGATGTAATTTAGACCAATTGGCTTGTTCATGGAACACAGCTGTTCTGGAGACTATAAATTTGTTACTATTATCAATGAATCTGTACCCTTTGGTGCCAGTTTCATATCCCATAAATCTTAATCTTCTGGATACGTTTTCTCCCTTTCTTCTCAACTGTTTAGGTATGTGTACGTCTGCAGTGACTCCAAATATGTGCATGTGTGCTAATTTGGGTTTCCTATTATACATCACCTCATATGGTGTTTTATTCACAATACTGGACCAGGTTCTATTTTGAGTGTAGTTTGAATAATGTAAGGCTTCTGACCAAAATTGTTTGCCTAAACCAGCATCCTCTAATGTGCATCTAATCATGGTTTGTAGTGTGGAATTCTTTCTCTCTGCAATCCCGTTTTGGAATGCGGAAAATGGACTAGACGTGAAATGTAGCATTCCTCTATCCTTTAACCATTGGGAGAATTCTTTAGACATGAATTCACATCCCCTATCTGTCATAATTTGTTTTATTCTGATATTATGTTGTGTTTCTATGCGTTTGTAGAATTCCTTAAATTTCTGAAAGGTTTCATCCTTGTGTTTTAATGTGTAAACAAAACCATAGCGACTGTAGTCATCTACTATTGTTAGGAAGTAACGTTTTCTATAAGTGATTGATGGAGTTAATGGACCAACTAAGTCCATATGTACTAAGTCAAAGATTTTGTTAGTTGATCTGTTGGATTTTTTTGGCCTGGGACTAGTTTTTAGTTTAGTGGATTTACATACTGAGCATTCCAAATAATTTTCACAATTTTTTATTTTGACACCTTCTGCGTGTTCAGTCATTTTTTGTACTACAGGAAAACTTGCATGTCCTAACTTCCTATGTAAGATGTGAGCACACTCATCATGAATTGGTTTACCTATTCTTGGTTTCTTCTCTTTGTGTGTATTTGTGTGATCATGAGATATTTTACATTCATCATTGTCACTGTTACTAACATTTTCATCATCTGCCTCAATACAATCTTCCATATTTGAATCAATGTTATGTAACCATCTTTCTTTTGTTACCAGATAGGGTAGGCCTCCTTTAATCATCACAGTGCCTACATTTGCTTTGTCCTTCTCTAAAGTTGCTTTCCCTTTTGAGAAAACTATATTGATGTCAGAATCTCTACTTAGTTTTATGACACTTAGTATGTTATGAGGTATTTCAGGAATTAACAATACCCCCTCTATTTTTCCTAGACCAGGCAATGTTATGTTTCCTCTGCCTAATACTTGAACCTTTTCTTGATTAGCTACCTTTATTACAAACTTATCTTCTGTAAATGAAGACAGAATATTTTTGTTATTAGTGGTGTGATTGGTTGCCCCAGAATCGATAAGCCAATTATTGTTCTCATTTTGTTGTGTTTTAGTGCTGTCTTGTTTATTTAGTCCATTCAGTGAACCAGATTTTCTCTCTTTTGAATTTTCTCTACCCCCTCTACTTTCTCTGTAATTTGGTGGGCTTCTATATTTATATCTATCTGTGGAAGACTGTCTATAATTGTATCTGCTTCTATATTCTGGCCTATGTCTCTCCTTTGATATTTTGGGACAGTCTCTTCTATTGTGTTCCCTGGACCCACAATTGTGGCATTTAAAAGCTTCATTGTATTTTTCTTGGAAAGCTACCTTCCTAAAAGATTTGTGTTCTGTGTGATTGCTAGAACGATTTTTTCTTGAATTGTCTTCTGCTATCAATTTGTTAGATAGACTCTCTATGGATAAATATCCTAGATTGATGGTGTCTAAGTGTGACATAAAACTGTCCCATGATGAATCAAGTGAATTGATAATAACACTTTTCATTGTTTGATCTGAAATCACTTCCCCCCTCAGATGCAGCTCAGCTCTTATTTTGTTTAGAGATATCAAATGCTCACTTATGGAAACCCCTGGTTTTACTCTGGAAGAAAAGAAATCCTTAGACATTCTTGTAGTGGTAGCTACACTGTCGCTGTGAAACAGATTAAACATGCATTGAATTATTTCTGAAACAGTTAGGTTTGGTTTGATACTATGATACATTGCAGGAGATACGCTAGATATTATTAAGAAGAATGCTCTATGATGTAAATAATCTATTTTTAAAGTCCAAGGTCTTCTTGGAGGACTAGTGATAAAGAATAATAAATTTTCTTTCATAAAGACAACCTGGAGCTGTTGATACCACTCTTGCAAATTAATGCCATCAACTCTAAGTTTTGGGAAGTCACTGGGTAAGTTTCCCACATTATTTTGTCCATTACTTACAACCTGAGGTAGTCCGTGATCTCTCAAGTGCAGGAAATTGCAAAACGGCATGGGGATGCTCGCAACGAGTCTGCGTGGTTCTCTGGCCAGTTCAAGTCTTTCCGGACCGTCTACGTGGTTTCGCACATGCGCGTTGCTCATTTCTTCTTTGGCATCGTCGTGGAAGGTTCTCTCCATTTCAGCTCGTTCGCTCTGCTCCTCTTCAGACGAGTCGGTCTCTGGCTCGGTTTTAGGAGTTCTGATGGCGGCGACTGTTCTTCTCTTTCTCTTGTGTGCGTTGATATTTGATCCGGTCTGCGGCGTGGGGCGGAATCGGCATGGCTCTCTGGGCTCGGGCGTTGTCGCTCTCGAAGTCAGGATGGGAGCGTGTAGATCTTGAGGTATCGGCTTGTTCTCTTGCTTCTTCGTTGGCGCTTTGGAAATTTTTAATTTTGGCCCAAATGCAGCAAAAAGCGTCTTCATTGCTGATTTTATTTGGGATTTGGTTAAATCGTCTTCGCTTTCTGATTCGGGTTCTTCTGGAGATTTTGAATCTTCCTTTTCACTTTCGTTGTCTGATAACGTTTTTCGCGCCAGAAATTTTGAACTGAGCGTTTTGATTGGCTCTGCTTCGCTCCCTTTGGAGGCTTGTTGAAACCAAGATGGCTGCCATTCAAAATTTCGCGCGGTATCACATCTTTTCTTTTTCATAATGACTTTCTCTGTAGTCATATCACTCACAGTTTTTTGGTCTTTGGGTTTCTCTTTGACGATGTTTTTCTCTCTCGCTGCTCCGCTGTTTTTCAGCATTTCTTGGAGATTCGCGATGAGACTTTCATCATTCTTCTGGCTTTTTAATAGCTTCAATATTTCTGACCTGAGTTCGTTATTTTCTATTTCGATTTCCTCCTGGTCATTATTTTCATTTATTAGTTCTTCTTCTTCTGTGGTGTACTCTTCGGATTCTCTCGAAATCGCGTTTGTGGATTCGTTGATTATTTCTTGTTCAGTTTCTATTTCTTTGCTGTAGGCCCTGGTGTTGGGTCTATCTTTCTTAGACATTTTTAAGTATTTATTGAGTCAATTAACCATCCTCTGCTACCAGCTTGTTGCTATATTTTTAGGATCAGACTCAATAATGATAATAAAGATTAGAGGTTTAAATATATTTCTCTTTAATCATAACAGGCATTCTATATTCACTGAATATTCACAGATAGAAGCAAGGAAAATGGTGAGGGTGGCTCCTTATATATACAAAGGGCGGAGTCAAGAATGGGAGTGGTGAATTATGAATACATTAGGAAACAAAGAATAAGTTAACCCCCGATATCCCATATATACATTATTTACACATTAGGGAATAAGGCATTTATATCTGACATAACCATTTCAGAGTGCCCTTCCTTCACGGGGAGAACATTATATTTGAGGGGATTCTGTCTACAGCCCAGAAACCTGCAGGCTGCTACACCTGCTAGTTCTTTGCCAGGTTTTGCATGCAGGAGTTGCACAAAAAGCTTTTTGTAGATTTTGTGGACGCCTCCTCCTGCACAGAAAGGTGTGCTGCCTGACTCTTCCTTGATCCTGGCTCAGGTGTTTATGATACCCTGGTCCGGGATCTTCTTTAACAAATTTAACAGATTAACAGAGTTGGAAGGGACCTTATAGGTCATCTAGTCCAGGGGTGGGTTCTACTTACCTTTACTACCAGTTTGCAACGGGGTTGTGTGCATGCTCTTCTGCGCATGCGCAAAAGCATTTTCATGATGTCACGGTCAGTGGGCGGAGCCTCTCGCCAGTTTTACTACTGGTTCTATAGAACCAGTGCGAACTGGGGGCAACCCACCACTGATCTAGTCCAACCTCTTATCAAGCAGGAGACCCTAAAGTTTAAACCATTTCTGACCATTTCTGACATTTTGACATTTCTTTGAGCTTTGCCAACTCTCCCTTCACCCCCACCTCCGGTCTCTCTTCCTTTCAGTTTTCCCTTTCAGCAGCCAGAAATTTTCTTTAGGATTGCACAATGAAACTCACATTTCTGCTGCAGAAAAAAAAAAATAGTCGTCTCCCTTCTCTCTGCTATCTCTGTTGTTTTCTCCTCATCTCTTTCCAGCTTTCCCCAACTTGCCCTTTGGTGTGGCTGTAGCACTTTTACCAATGACAACAGATCTCAGTCAGCGTTTTCTGCAACCGTGCTCTGAGTATGTTATGCAATAGTTTGGGGGTCGGTCGTTCCACTCTGGTTCCTTCTATGGACAAACCTTTGAACAAACCACCGGAAATTTTTTTCCACTTTGGGTAAAGTCTAAGAATGCAAGCTCATGGGAATTAGGTTCAGTTCCTATAATGAGCCAACCAAAGATGGAAATGTTTGTTTTCTCTTAACTAACATTAAAATGCCAGTCACATGATCGTAAGAATCAAGTTCAGCCTTCTCGGATCATATCAACCAACCTATCTGAAACCTCTAGCGAGTAATGATGAACTATTCTGTCTCTCAGCACCTGCAGACTAAGAGTTTCAGTGTCCAGCTTTCAGAATTAAAATTCACCAGAATCTTTTTTGAAATTCTGCAATATCAGGAGCTGAAACAGCTAAAAGAGGTAAGAGATTCATTTATCAAAGGATTTTTTTTAAAGCTTTCCTTTAAAGAGAACTACATGCTGAAAAGGATATCTGTCACTATCTTTGTATAATGCCAGAATTGTACATATTTACTGAAGTATCTTTTTAAGGGATATCTCCAGTCTCCAATCCCAGGTAATTTTTGGAGTCACAAATACCAGGAATAAAACTGTAAGAAAAGTTGAAAGGGAATGTGATATTTTTAGGATTTTCAAGGTTTTCATGGTTTAAATTCTGGAAATATCTTTTCACTTCCCAAATCAATTTTAGGAATTTCTTGGTGGCTTCCTATCCCAAATCTTAAAAAGATCCATCCCTACTTTACCCATGAATGTTGCCACCTCTCTCAGCCTAAAAGGGAGAATTGTTAAACCAGTGCTTTTCAAACTTGGAACTTTAAGATGTGTGGACTTTAACTTCCAGGATTCCCTGGATAGAAAACTGGCAGGGGAATTCCAAAAGTCCACTCATTTTAAAGTTGACAAATTTGAAAAACACTGTGTTAAACTGTATTAATCTGAGAATATTCTTGGGGGAGACTTCTGTTGTATAATCCTGCAGCTTCAATCAGAGAATGGGAATTAAACAGCAACATTTTCCACTTACAACCATCCTATTTTCCTACCTCTTCGTCCAATGTTTTTCTTACCTCACAAAATCTATCAAGGAGGAAAGCTATGCTATGTGCCTAGTGGGCACATTTGAAATGCAGAAAATATGGTGTGCTACCCTCCCCAATGGTGTGTTTAGTGCCCATTTATGTCATTTGTATCTGTATGCAAATATTGTAGAATTCCCACAATGCTTTGCTCTCTGATGTGATCCAACAGATGTTCCTGAATAATGAACACTCTTCCAATCAATTTGTCTGTTAAAAGGCATTATTTTTTTTAAAAAAAATTACACATGTTTGCAAATTACCAATTACTACTTTACAAATTTCAGGTACTCCTCGACTTATCACTGGTCACTTAGTGACCATTGAAAATTCCAACGGAAAATTCCGACGGACATATCTGGGGGTACTTACAACCCAGATTCAAAGTTTCAACAGTCACCACCATCTCCATGGACATGTGGCCGCACTTCAGACACTAGGCAAACAGGCCACATTTACAGCCATTTGAAGTGTCTCATGGTCACATAACCACATTTTATGATAGTTTTGCCAAAAAATCATCATTTACTTCTGGTTTTCAGCAAAACCAGCCCATAGTGAACCATGGGTTTGCTTAATGACTGTGGTGTTTGCTTACTAATTGCCACAAAAAAGTCATAAAATTGGCTCAGTCACATGACCAACTCTCTCTACAACTGTCACAAATTGCAACTGTGAGGGGCAGGTTCCATTACAGTCATAACTCAATGACCATAGGAACGGAAAGATAATACAGGATTAGCCTTGGAGCATGGAGTAGTTGGCCTCAACCAACCGAAACCTTGCATGCAGTTGCTTTGGGCTAGTGATTCTCTTACAGCAGGGGTGTCAAACTCAATTTCATTGAGGGGCACATCAGGGTTGTTTTTGACCTCAGGGGGCTGGGGTGGGTGTGGATGGGGTGGGTGTGGCAAGCTCAACGTCACTTGTGCCGGGGGCTCCTGTGGTGGCCCGAGAGTTCTGCCAGCGAAAATGGGCTCCCGACAGGGGTGAAATGCTCCCAGTTCAGACCAGATCGCCCGATCTGGTAGCGATGGCAGCGGGTGGTTCGGAGAACCGGTAGCAAAAATTCCTACACCCCTCCCCCCATTCCCAGCTGAGTCGCGCGATCATCAGAGGCTTTTTTTTTTACTTTTAAAGGCATTTTTTCTACAACCTCTTCAGAAGAAAAAAATGCTTTTAAAAGTTAAAAAAAAGCCTCTGACGATCGTGCGGCTCAGCTGGGATCGTCAGAGGCTTTCAAAAGCATTTTTTCTTGCAACCTCTTCGGCTGAAGAGGTTGTAGAAAAAAATGTCTTTAAAAGCCTCTGACGATTCCAGCTGAGTTGCCTGATCGTCAGAGGCTTTTAAAGGCATTTTTTCTTGCTACCTCTTCAGCCGAAGGAGTTGTAGAAAAAATGCTTTTAAAAGTTAAAAAAAAAGAGTTGGCCATGCCCACCCAGTCACATTAAACACCACCACCACCAAGCCATGCCCACAGAACCGGTAGTGACAAATTTTACATTTCACCACTGGCTCCCAATCTCCATTTTCAGTTGGGATGGCCTCCTGCAACCCTCTCTGTTTTCGCTGGCCGAGGCACCATGGGCTGGTCCTACGCTGTTTTCAGGGTGGCCCTGTGGGCCAGATCTAAACACCCCACGGGCCGGATCCAGCCCCCAAGCCTTGAGTTTGACACACCTGTCTTACAGCATCACCAACTCCCCACTGGGAAAAATAGGAGAAGGGAGCACTAGGTGTGTTGCTTTGAGCTTTTGTGCACACAGTGGGACATAAATCAAATGTATATCAACATACAGTGTGGAACCACTCTCTGAATATAGTTTTGATACTGGGTGATTAAAGGCACTACCTGGACACAATTGCCATTCACACCCTGTATGGTTTTGTGGGAAGCCCCCCGCCCCACCTTCCGAGAAAAATGAAATATTTTGGGAAATATTAAAAAGGCAGAATGTTATATTTCCCTAAAGAAGAATGGAGAAACAGGCTCTTAAAGACAGAAAGCAGACTCAGTCTTTCTTAATAGCCCATAGCAGATGCCAGCACTTAAGAGATAAAGAGTTTATTGAAAGAGGAAGTGAGTATCTAGATAGCTCTGTTCATAAGCAAAGCAAATACTGCAGGCAGAAATCCATTTAAGGCAGGATATTTCAAAACTCCTTGGCAGAATGGTAGGATTAGAAAGCAGCCCCTCACCCAAGATCCAACACAGGACGAAAGCCATTAGCCATAATAGGAATTGCCCAACACCCTTTCAGAACACAAGCCCCTTCATTGCACCACCCCCAGAACAGTCCAAACTTCAAAGTCACAGAAACCTGGGAGCTCACATAAACAATAAGCCAGAGGTTGACCAGATTAGCTCAGACAAACACTTAGGATTTGCATTTCCTCTTTTGCCTATACTGTAGAGCCAGCTATGACCTCTACATAACCCTTACATGATCCACCCCCCCATAGGAATCTGATAACAGCCAATAGAATATTAAAGGACATGTCCTTGCACAGGAACAGGAAGCTCAAATACAGAGCCCAAAGAAGGTGTAAAAACCCACCCACTCTCAATTCTCATTTTGTCAGCTGCCCAGAATCACATGTGGTTGGTGGTTCTCCTTCATCAATAAATGGACCTTCTTTTCAAGCCTGTCCCTCCCAGCTTTTTTTTTTTCTTGTTTTTTTTTTTTAATTGAAGAAATGTGGCTTTTGGAGGAAGGCAGGAAAGGCGTTAAGGAAAGAGAAAAGGTAAGGTTTTGGGAAGCTCGCTGCCTTTTGTGCAAGGGCCCTCTTCCCAAAGCCTAGAGGCAGGAGAGCTTTGCAGTGTGCTCCTGGTCACCTGATGGGCGGAGAGCTGATTAGCCAAGAAGCTCCAAAAGGCTAGAAAACTGGTTCTTTTTTTTCCCCCTAGAAAAGCAGGGCATCTTGGCAGGAGGAAGGGCAGAGACAGAATTAGGAAAGGCAGGTGCATTCAGCGTTTTCCTTCCCCATTGTTTCTCAGGCCGGCATGCAAGACACTCAAGAGGTAGGAAGCCTGGCTATCTTGGGGTAGGGGAGGCCTTGGGAGGCCTGAGGCAGGTGGGCTAGTGCCTTCATTATGTAGTGCAGGGCTTTCAAACTCGCGGCCCAAGGGCCAGATGCGTCATGCGCTGGCCACGCCCATGCCCGGTTTAGCAAAGGGGGGGAAAGTCCCGATATGTCACATGACGATGCTGTGATGACGCAAGTTTGACAGCCCTAATCTAGTGCCTGCATTATCTCCCCCATTCCTGCTTAATGACCCGTGCATTCGTTTAATGAATACACTAGAAAGAACAGGGATGGCTGATCATTACTTGAGCCAGTCCATTTAATATTGTCCTGACCTTCAAACCGAATGGGCGGGCTCCATTATAACTTGAGGACTACTTGTATGGATGCAGTGTCTCACAGTCACATTTTCACCCTTTGCATCTTCCTGCCAGCTTCCCCCGGGACTGTCCCTGACAGAAGGAGGATTTTGAAGGTTAGAAATGGTTAACGTATGACTATGGGATGCTGCAATGTCATAATTGTAAGCCAGTCACCAAGCATTCAAATCATGATCACATGACCATATGGACTATATGATGGCCCCAACCATAGGGACCTATGAGGACCTATCATAAGTATCTCTCATTCAGTGGCATTCTAACTTCAAATGGTCACTGAACAAGGGGACATTAAGCAACAACTACCTGTATTAAAAGCTCCGGAGAAGTAGAGTTAGGTATTAGAAAGAGTATCCTGATGGTAAATGCTGCCATCCAGTGGGAAAGGTTGCCAGGTTCCCTTTCATCAGTCTATTTAGGAAAAGCTGAGATGGTGCAACAAAATGGTACTTCCAGTCATTAAATTATTGCCAATACAAATAGGCTGCTGACATTTTTAGATTCCTGAAGCTATTTCATCAATACCCAGGATTTTTCTGATTTGTAGTTCATTATTTTGCAGGTTTCAGCTATGTGGCTCTACCTGGTTGCCCTGGTGGGCCTTTGGCTCTTTTGTCGATGGTACCTGGAAAGACAAATGGTGGAGAACCTGACAGAGAAATACGTCTTCATCACGGGCTGTGATTCTGGCTTTGGGAACCAGCTGGCCAGGCAGCTGGATGCTCAGGGTCTGCGGGTGTTGGCCGCTTGTTTCACTCCAGAAGGCGCAGAACAGCTGGAAAAAGTCACGTCGCCTTGTTTGAAAACCACCCTACTGGATGTCACCAGCACTGAGAGTGTTGCAGCAGCAACTGAGTGGGTGAAGGAGCAAGTAGGAGACAAAGGTACAGTCTAAATACTGTTCTTTCTGCGTGAGGCCAATTGGACCTAACCGTTTTTATTTATTTACTCCACCTTTTATTATTTTTAGAAATAATTCAAAATGATGAATGTACATAATACTGTTTCTTCCTCTTAACTTCTCCACAATAACAACTCTGTGAGGTGAGCTGGCCTGAAAGAGAGTAACTGGACCAAAGTCACCCAGATAGTTTTCATGCCTAAGGTGGGACTCAAAAGTCACAGTCCCCTGGTTTCTAGCCTGGTACTTTAACCACCTAGCCAACTTCCTTCCATTCCCCACCATCCAGTCAGAGCTAAAGAAGCTTCTTGGATGAGAAGCGAAATGTCTTCAAAGAAAAACCAGAAAGTCCAGTTGCCTCTTGAAAAAGCACCTTTGGGACAACCATGTCCTGGATGATGAGAATCTCCACAGACATTCAATAGAATATTTCAACCACCTTAGAATCAAGTTGCCTTTCAAGCTTTGCATAACCTATCGTATTTTTCAGAGTATAAGATGCACCTTCCCCCCACCCCAAAAGAGGTTGAAAATTTGGGTGCGTCTTATACTCCAAATGTAGCTTTTTCGAAGCTTTTTTTCAGCCCTAACAAGGCACTAACGAGGCGCTAGTGAGTGAAGCGATCTTCCCAGCTTTGCCTGCTCCCTAGACTCTCCGCTGTGCTTTAACAAGGCGCTAGCGAGTGAAGCGATCTCCCCGTGCTTTGCCTGCTTTTCTCATTGCTGCTTCCTCTCAGCTGTGCCTTAGAAGCTGTTTTTTATCCCCAAGCATGGGATTAAAAACCAGCAAACTAATGTGCTGAAGCTGACCAGACTAAGGACGCTAGCCAGATGAATATCTGGTAGGCAGTTTGTTTGGTTTTTTTTCTATTTTCCTCCCCCCAAAAAAAGCTGCGTCTTATACTCCGGTGCGTCTTATACTCCAGTGTGTCTTACACTTCTAAAAATATGGTATTCCATAGTGAAATTAATATAACCAAGCAAAACTCCCACAATATTGCTCACAAAACTTACTCTAGAAAAATCAGTGGAGTTACCGTATCACTATTTCCCAAGTATCAGCGTCCTAAACTGAACAGATTCCATGGCTAACAACTTTGAAAACTACTGAGAAATCAGGCAGAAATAAAATAGCTGCACTCTCACTAGCTTTCCTCCTTAGCACCTCTTCCATAAAAACAATCAAGTTTCAATGCTAAATCCCAGTCTATACCTAGGCTGAGAAAGGTCCAATTCATCAGATTTATCCAATGGCAGTTGTAGTTAGTCGGTTACGTTTTTCTTGAATCTTTTGCCCCCGAAATGTGCTAGTTAATAGCTGTATAGTCTTCTCCTGAGTCCATTTTTTGTTCATAAGGAATGATTTTCCGATCTTTTTCAAGACACCTGGAACAATTTCTTTTCTTCAGAAGATCTTAATTTCTTTCTGAACCATTCAGTCAAATGTCAGCAGTTTGAAATACTTTACTTCAGTGACAATGGACTGAGTCTTTAAAAGGTTAGATTAATGACTCAAGCTATCTTGTTACTATCCTCTGCCAGGCCGCTTCAACTGAAAATGATTCTATGTAAACTTTGGTTACTTCTCTTGAACGGTATGAAAACTAGCACTGTCAGAGAAAAAAATATCTGTACTATTAGATTGTTTAAACATTTGTCAACCCAGGCTTCAAATATTGCAGCTCCTCCTTTCAAAATCTAGATATAGTAGTTCCTTGTACTGTTAATAAAATCTCTTGTTTACTACTATTTAACAATATGATGATACAACAGTGAGAAAACATGGCTGTCCTCATATCATGGAAAGCATATGAATATGTTATTAGTAACAATTTGTAATTGCAGGGAAACGTGTGCTATTTGTGTTCTAGCTGTGATCTCACAGATTATATTGCTCCTACTATGTTTCCCTAAAAATAAGACACCCCCTGATAATAAGCCCTCCCCCTAAAATAAATCCTTCCCAAAAAATAAGCTCTCCCTGAAAATATTTAAACGCCTGCACAGCTGGTGTCCGCCATTTCCTCTGGTTAGAGTTAGGGAGACAGAGCTGGAAATCAGGTAAGACAGCAAGAGGAGCCCCTTCTTGCTGCATGTGCCCCAAAATAATAAGACCTCCCTGAAAATAAGGCCAAGCGCTTATTTCGGGGTTCAAAAAAATATAAGCAGGGAAAACACGGTAGTTTTTCATTAAACTGGGACTAGCTGGACTCCATCACTCAAGAGAGGATACTTGAGAATGATTAGTATTTCTTTCCATCATGGTCTTCCATAGAGAAAGTAGCATTCATTACTGAATGCCAATTTGTTTGGTGGAAAGACTTTGAGAACATACAAGATTCCATCAAATTCCAAAGGAGTCCAAGAATTATGGAACTTAGTGAATCCACCAACCCTGCAGAATGGAAAAGCCAATTCCAATTTAAATCTTCCAGGAAGTCACCTGACCATAACAATGGGGTTATTGAGACATTTCCATTCAGCTCCAAATTAGCAAACTCCTGCCTATTTATTTTTATTTTATTATTTTTATTATTCATATTTCTATGCTGCCCACTCCCCGAGGACTCTGGTCAGCTTACACCAAAGACAGTATACTAAATAACATATTGCCCCCAACAATCTGGATCCTCATTTTACCCACCTCGGAAGGATGGAAGGCTGAGTCAACCTTGAGCCGGTGAGATTTGATCCGCTGATCTGCTGAACTAGCAGTCAGCTGAAGTAGCTGCAGTACTGCACTCTAACCACTACGCCACTTCAGCTCAAGAATACTAGGCAAACCAAGCATAGAACATGTGATGCTCACAAGCGTGGGTGTGCCTATATAGGCCTCCCATGATGCTCACCAGGCGCCTTCATTTTAATTAGATAAAATAAATAAATGGGAAGTTAGCACACTGCAAAGCAGTTCACCAATTTCTAGCATCATCTTTATTTACATAAATTCCTCTGTGCCCTATATAAACTTTTTATCAAGATGATAAATCACTGCAAAGCAGTGGTTTGATGCCATTCCCCTTAAAAGGAAGTCTACATCTGACACCTCTCTGAAATCTTGTCATATTAAAGACCACTCAGATGTAATCACCTGAGATAAATAAATACATATCCTAGAGCTCCTCGGCCACTACAATTAGAATATATGATTTGTGGTGAATATGAGGAAATTTGGTTTCAAATGTTATTTTAAAATGGTATGGAAGATTCCCAAGTATCCAAATCAGGCCACAACTGATTACATCCGTCCTTCAAAATCATATTAAGATTCATGATTAGCCATCCAAAATGAGACGTTTTAAAATGTCATGTTTCCCCAAAAATAAGACCTACCAAAAAATAAGCCCTAGTCTGATTTTTAAGTGTGCACCTAATAATAAGCCCTACCCCAAATATAAGCCCTAGTGAAGTGGGGTGGATGCAGCCAGCATAGGAGATGGTGAGCATGCACAGGCCATCGGAGTCCAGCAGCAGCCGCAGCCTGCGCAGCACAGGTGAGTCCAAGCAGCAAGCAGAGACAGAGGCAGGGGGAAGGCATGCGATCTGGACATGTCACACAGGCCACGGGAAAGCCAAGAGTCAGTGGGTCGGAGCAGATAGACAGCCATAGGAGGCTTGTCTTCATGCCTCTCAACTTGCTTGTAGCCTGTGCGATGCATCAGGGTTACCTGCCTTCCACCCCATGTCTCTGTCTGCCTCTGCTACCAGTGCCACTGTGTGAAATGAGCCTTTCATGGTCCACCAACTTGCTACGTGAAGATGAGCCACTCTGGCTGACCAACTCTCAGCTTTCCTGTGGCCCGCGAGGCACGTCCAGATGCCTCCCCCCCACCCATGCCTCTGTCTCCATCTGCTGCTTGGACAGGGAATCAACTCACATGAGCTACACAGGCTGTACAGCCCCAGAGTACACAGACCAAGGAAGTGACAAGCTGCAGCTGCTGCCGGATACTGTCGGTCCCCATGCTCTTGCCACCTCGTGTATGTGTGCCGAGGGATGGGGTGCCCAGCCGGGCTGATCACCCTGAAATCAAGTTTCCCCCAAAATAAGCCCTGGTGGTTATTTTGGAGCCCCAAAAAATATAAGACTGGGTCTTATTTTCGGGGAACACTGTAGTTAATAATCAAAGTAGTTAATGTTCAGAACATGACACATCTTTTAAAGATGTTGTATTATTTCAAGAAAGGTAAAAACCATATTCAGTGACAACAGTGCCAGTAAAACAAGGCTTCTAAACTTGTGATAGTATGACCTCCTAAAATTTAAAATACAACTGAACATTCTCATTGCTTTGAAATCACACTCTCAGAAATCGATTCTAAATAATACTATTTAATAAAAGAGTCTTGAAAATATCTTCCATGTAAATAATTCTCACTAAGCTTAGTAATAAAAAATTAGAAAATTTGTTGCTGGCTGCTTTACTCAGATAACTAAAGACATAAGAAAAAAATAGCTTGATGGACCTCTTGAGTGCATGGTGAAGATATAAGCGTCTAGAGAAAATATATCTAATATGGTAAGAAGTTCAATGGTAAAGATTTTAAAGATTTTGCTAGTTCAAAAACTACAGGTGCAATCCTAAACTTGCTGGCCATAATCCTTCTTAGAACTGGGAAGTGAGTTAATGTGAACCACCTAGGTTCTCCTTGTAGGGGAGATGAGAGAGAGAGAGAGAGAGAGAGAGAGAGAGAGAGAGAGATTAGAGAGAGAGAGAGAGAGATTAGATAGATAGATAGATAGATAGATAGATAGATAGATAGATAGATAGATAGATAGATAGATAGATAGATAGATGGATGATAGATAGATTAGATAGATAGAGATAGATAGAGATAGATAGATAGATAGATAGATAGATAGATAGATAGATAGATAGATAGAGATAGATAGATAGATAGATAGATAGATAGAGATAGAGAGATAGATAGATAGATAGAGAGATAGATAGATAGATAGATAGAGATAGAGAGATAGATAGATAGATAGATATAGAGAGATAGAGATAGATAGATAGATAGATAGATAGATAGATGATAAATAGAGAGATAGAGATAGATAGATAGATAGATAGAGATAGATAAATATAGATAGAGAGATAGAGATAGATAGATAGATAGAGATAGATAGATAGATAGATAGATAGATAGAGATAGATAGATAGATAGATAGATAGAGATAGATATAGATAGATAGATAGATAGATAGATAGATAGATAGATAGATAGATAGATAGAGATAGATAGATAGATAGATAGATAGATAGATAGATAGATAGATAAGAGAGAGAGAGAGAGAGAGAGGACAGTCAGACAGACAAACCAGACCAGGCCAGACCAGACAGACGGACAGACATAATGTAACTCTGTGTGTGTGCATTCGTGTGTGTGTGTGTGTCTGGTTGTCCAGGTATAGTAAGAAAAATGTGATGCCTGGCTCAGTTTTAATGCCAAAAAACCTTCAGTTTATATGAATCAACATGAACAGCAAAAACCTCTGAAGATACCTTCAAAATAATCTATTGAGCCATCAATTCGATTCCATATAAGAGAAGTAACAAGTCTGTTTCGACAGGTCTCTGGGGCTTGGTGAACAATGCAGGAGTCGCTTTCCCATTGGCTCCCAACCAGTGGCTGACCAAGGATGACTTTGCAAAGGTGCTAAATGTCAACTTGCTGGGCGTAGTTGATGTGACGCTCCACTTGCTGCCCCTCATCAGGAGAGCCAGAGGTAGAGTGGTCAACGTGAGCAGTTTGGCTGGAAGAATTGCCATTAGTGGAGGCGGCTACAGCCCTTCAAAATTTGCATTGGAAGCCTTCTCTGACAGTCTCCGGCAAGTCATTCCCTTGGATATTTATTTCATTCTGTCTCTCCTATGCCTGCTATCACTATGGGAAAGAGGAGATGAGGCTAGAACTCATTTAGCCTCTCATCTCACAACAAACAAGTTTCAAACAAATATATCACCACCATCTCATGTTTGGACACTGTCTCTTTGTGGGGCTTGGACAAAAGAAACATTCATTTCATGCGCAATAAATTAAGTTTAAGAACATAGAAATCTTGAACATTTTCTATCCAGGTTTAAGTCCAGGTGCCTTATTTTCAAAATGAACCATTGATAACCCTTGATTTGGTTTCTCTTTCAAATTCTCACACCCTAGCATTTAGATTTCTGGTTCTTGTTGTTTTTTAAATACATGCCGTTTAATGGAAATCCATGTAATTGCATTATTAAACCCTTACCCATTAGCAGTAAAACAAAATGGATATTGAAAAGAAAATGGTCATTTGAGTGATTTGCTTTTAATTTTCTTAATTCTGCTTTTGGTGGTGGTGGTGGTGGTGATGATTGGCACGGATTCTTTTTTAAACTGCACCCAATTTTGATGGATGCAGACTCAAAAGATGCTGAGTCAGCTGAATTTTTATATCTCCTAATAAGGGATGGGAATATCTTGGTTTGGGAGAAAAAACAGATATAAAGGTAAAATGTACACATTTTTTCAGTGCTTCCTGTTGTTATCATATCCTATACTATTTCTAAATTGTATTTAGAATAGAATAGAATAGAATAGAATAGAATAGAATAGAATAGAATAGAATAGAATAGAATAACAGAGTTGGAAGGGACCTTGGAGGTCTTCTAGTCCAACCCCCTGCTTAGGCAGGAAACCCTACACCACTTCAGACACTTCAGATTGGTTATCCAATCTCTTCTTAAAAACTTCCAGCGTTGGAGCATTTACAACTTCTGGAGGCAAGTCGTTCCACTGATAAATTGTTCTGTCAGGAAATCTCTCCTTAGTTCTAAGTTGCTTCTCTCCTTGATTAGTTTCCACCTATTGCTTCTTGTCCTACCCTATTTTCTCTATACTTTATTCTATTATTACTTCTATACTGTTTATCAGCGTCCGAAACAGCGCGCTGTTCCAAGTTGCCGCAATGTGTTCGGAGTTGCCACACAGGCGCAAATGGGGTGCAAAGGTGGGTGATGGGACTCACGCTGGGAGAGGAGCCACGAAGGCAGGCCAGCTGCAGTCGGTTCAGAAGACATCCAGGCCCGAAGAGTAATTGCTGAAGCCGGCCAGTGAGCAACAGGGAACAGGAGGGCGGGGCATGCCGAGTCCGTAAAACCAGCTGGCTAGCAGAAGCCAGTAATGCTGGCTAGAAACTCTTTTACTTGTATTGTTCACCATGTGCCGAGCCAAGACTCCAGTAAAGAGACTCGTTCTGCTCACAGTGTGGCCTCTTCTTTTGCTGGCTTGGCTTGGAACTGTGACATTGTTTTTATTACCTTTACTATTACTAGCATAGAGCAGTGCTCTCTTCTTATACTGTTCTGTCTTTAACTCCCTCCACCCTCCATTTTTTATTTTTATTTTTCTTCTTCTTAATTAATACACAGAATGTTAAGCATTAGCACCTTCCATGATGTGGTTTGTTTTGCTTTGTTGTGCCTCTTTTTTTCCCTGTGGACAATTCAGTTTCTGTGAAGAAAAAAAATACTTCCATCTATTTGGCTGTTTCCTATTTGTTGCTAGCGGCACAACTTCCAAAGGGCACATCTCTCCCCCCCCCCCATCTGTTTCACAATTGCAGTTTTTATTGGCAACTCTGCTGTGCTGCTGGGGAGAAGCCTTAAATAGGAGGGGGAAAAGGCAGCACAGGTGCCTGCAACTTTTTCAGCATCCTCCCCTTCCACCCTTTGTATCTGATGATGATGATGATGATGATGATGATGATGATGATGATGATGATGATATTTCTAACCCCACATACCCAAACTTGACTGATCTCAAAAAAAAAAACAAGTAGCTTTCAGTTTTATGAAAATGTTATTAGACTTTAGGGTGCCACGAGATCAAGTTTTGTTTTTAGCGTATATAGAAACTGAATGTGTTTGCAAAGTCAGAAGAATTGAGCTCAGCTTGAAGATTAGAAGAAGACTTCCTATGAAAGGTAGCCCAGCAGGTGACATCCAAAAGCCAACTTTGGCTGATCTCCAAAAATTAAGACCTGTTTCATTCTTGGTTAGTAGGCAAACAGCAAATCCACAATGTAGATGATAGTCAAAAATATTCTATGGAAAAATATTCAAAAATAATCAATGGAATATTTTATGAAGGGTATAAATTAAAATCTCTTTCATAATGAGGTTATTATTTAAATGTGTTTGCTGCCATCTTCCAAAGCTGCAAATGTCCTAATTAAATTTCTCTTCTGGATTTTTTGGTTTGCCAATAGAAAATTGGCAGGGCCTGGTGGCTCAGCAGACTAAAGCATTGTGATTAACACCAGCTGTCTGCAATTATTGTAAGTTCGAATCTCACCAGGCTCAAGGTTGACTCAGCCTTCCATCCTTTCTAAGATAGGTAAATTGAGGACCCAGTTTGTGGGTAATAAGCTGACTTTGTATAAATATACAAAAGTATGAAGGCTATTGCTTAACGCATTGTAAGCCGCCCTGAGTCTCTGGAGAAGGACGGCATATAAATCAATTTTTTTTAAAAAAAAAAATCACTTCGGAGGATGGAAAGGACAGTATCTTTTATCTCCTTCATTGTTTGAGTCACTTTCTTTCATTCAGCTCTTAGGCCAGTGATGGCTAACTTTTTTGCCATCACGTGCCAGGAGGGGGGGGCCTGTGCATGTGTGCCCACACCCATAATTCTATGCGCCCCATCCCCGTGCATGCGTGCATGACCTCCCCCCCCATTCCTGGCACGTGATGACACAGTGGGCCCAGTAGGCCTGTTTTTCTCTCTACCCAGGCTCCAGAGCCTTTCTAGGAGCTTGGGGAGGGCAAAAACGGCCTCCCCCCCGGGAGGCCCTGTAGAGGCCAGAAATGGCCCATTTGCCAACTTCCAGTGGGACCGGAAGACCCATTTTTTGCTCTTCTCCAGGCTCCAGAGCCTTTCTAGGAGCCTGGGGAGGGCGAAGATTGCCTTCCCTACCCCCCCACCTCCGGAGGCCCTCCGGAGGCCAGAAACAGCCCATTTGCTGACTTCTGGTCCCACCGGAGCTGAGCTCACGTGCCCACCGATATGGATACATCCGTCACCTGTGGCACGTGTGCCACAGGTTCGCCATCACGATCTTAGGCTATCAAAATCTTGTTTTCATAAATTCTGGCTGAATTCTGGGATTATTCTCGGGGGGCAGGGAAAGTCTTCAGTTAAAAAAAAGTAAGTAGAAGAAAAGCACATTTGGGGATCTAGTAAGATGGAGCAAGGAATGATACTAATTGGAGGCAGGAGGAAAATCCCTACTTTTTAAAGAGTTCTTTTTTCTTGTAGACGTGAAATGCATCCTTTTGGAGTCAAAGTCAGCATCATCGAGCCAGGTACATTTTTTACAGGACTAGAAAAATGTGCAGCAGAGTTCTTCGCAACCCTCTGGAGCAAAGTACCAGCTGATATCAAAGAACTCTACGGCCAGGAATTCTGGAGAAAATGTAAGTTAAAAAAACGTGTAAAATTTTGTAAACCAGGAAGGTAACATGGCCAGCAAAAGGTAATCTTGCAGGACCTTATTTCCAGTGGTGGGATTCAGCCAGTTCACACCACTTCCAGAGAACCGGTTGTTAACTTTCTGAGCAGTTTGGCAAACTGGTTGTTGGAAGAAATCATTAGGGCAGAGAACCGGTTGTTAAATTACTTGAATCCCATCACTGCTTATTTCTCATATCATAAGGTTTCGTGAACTACAGTTCGTTTCATCAGATGCAAGAATTATTCCTGAGAGACCAATACGTGAGACTAAGTGGGAGCATATTTCCATTTATGTATCAGGGTGGAAAGAGGATATATGGAGTTAGGGGCTGGTATACAAAGCAAAAAAACCTGGGTGGCAAGAGAAAGAGAGGGATGATCACTTTTGTCGGTGGTACTTTAGAGCAGGGGTCCCTAACCTGTGGGCCATGGCCCATTACTGGGCTGTGGCCAGCCAGTGCATGTGTGCACATACACCCACTCACACTAGCATTGCCATTCACGTGTGTGTAAAGGCACCTGCCCCTCCCCCTCCACTGGGCCACCAACCCAGAAAGGTTGGGGAACTCTACTTTAGAGTCACATCTTAGATTCAACCACTGCTGAAAAGCAAAATCCCACCGAGTACCAAGGGAGTGTTCTGACCTAGGCTTCCCAAGAGCATGAAGCAGACTCCTCGTCTTGATAAAACCTCTTTTATTTAGGTTAAAGGAAAATTCCTCTCAAGCAAAGTCCGGGCAAACAGTCTTTCATGAGATTTCACAGCTACAGACCTTTATCGGGCTTGGAGAGTTGCCAGGCCCATATCTTCCAAATGCCACGCTGTAGCAGTAATTACTTGGCAAGAAGTCAGGACTCTTCACCCTAATGATTTTTTTTAATTTTTTTTATTTATTTCTATTTGATTTATATGCCGCCCTTCTCCGGAGACTCAGGGCGGCTTACAATGCGTTAAGCAATAGCCTTCATCCTTTTGTATATTTATACAAAGTCAGCTTATTGCCCCCACAACTGGGTCCTCATTTAACCTACCTTAGAAAGGATGGAAGGCTGAGTCAACCTTGAGCCTGGTAAGATTCGAACCTGCAGAAATTGCAGGCAGCTGTGTTAATTACAGGGTGCATTAAACCACTGTACTACCAAGGCTCCTTGAACTAATTGTCTCCTGCAAATTCCCCTCCCTGTTCGCTCCTCTTTATTCTGGGAGGGACCATTCACCGTCCACCTGTGCCTTTACTCCCGAGTCGGCCCTTGTTCCTTAGCTGTTCTCTTCTCCTGGTAGCTCTGCGCATGCGCACATTGGGAACAGGCTCCAGCTGTTCTTCTGCCCCACTGATATCTGACTCCGAAGGCAGCTGATAACTGTCGGATGACCCTGGCCCTGTCTCTGCCTCCAAAACAGAGCATTCATCAAAGCCTTCCCCAAACTCCAGGACTGGCCCATGTTCCTCTCCAACCTCCTCACTGTCTGAGTCTGCCACCAGGTCCGCTGGCCGCTGGCGGGCCAGAACAGGGGGCAGGATTTTGCTCATAAGAAATGTGTGCAGCTGGTAGAACTGCATGCAACTCTGTTAAAGAAAACCGCACCTTTCTTGGGGTCTTTATGATGTAGCATCCCAGTGAAGTGAGAGAAATGAAGAAATTTGTTTTGTTTTTTTTCAAAACAAAGAGCATCCCACTACCACTGCTGCCATCATGAGGTCTTGCTTTGGCCCGAAAGAATTGGACCAGAGGATCTCCAAACTACCTTCCAACCCATTCATTCAATGGTTCACCAAATAAACATGATAGAACATTTTCAAATGTTGAGGACCATCCCCAGAAAAAGGATGCTGTTTTCTTATTGATTTTCCCCCCAAAAGGTGGTAGCTCTGCCCCCACCCTCAAAGTAAAGCTCTTAACCAGATCCTGTATGTTCTGTTAAATTAATGGGTAACTTAAGCATTCCAGACAGTGCTGGTGTAAGTTACTCATTACCACTCAAGGCAAAGCTTTTCCTATTGGCAGCACCACTTTTAATTTTTTTTTTATCAGTGATACCTCATATGTTATTATACCTGCTACTCTGAGACTTTACTTTGAGTATAGCTTTGCAACTTGATAAAACAGAATTCAGGTGGAAGCATTTTTGTTCCATACAATTGACTAGCCTAACTGCACTGCATTGTTTCTTCAGGCATTTTCCATCTTACAACTAAAGTGCTTTTTCAAGGGGCAACTGGACACTTTCTTGTTTTTCTTTGAAGATATTTCACTACTCATCCAAGAAGCTTCTTCAGCTCTGAATGGATGGTGAGGAATGAAAGGACCATCCAGTCTGAGCTAAATAAGCTTTTTAGATAAGAAGCAAAATGTCTTGAAAGAAAAACAAATGAATCCAGTTGCCTCTCGAAAAAGCGCCTTTGGAACAACCATGACCTGGATGACTGAGAATCTCCATAGACCTACAACTACAGTAGCACTAGCTCTGGCTCGTAGTTGTTAGCTTGGTAACCAAAAAAATAAAGGGGGGAAGAAAAAGGTATCATGATGTCAGCCAGGAAACAATAAATGGAAAATTATACATTACCTAATTCCTAGTGCCGCCTATTTCATTTTCATTTTCAAAACAAAAGGTGTGTGTATGTGGCTATGCATATAATACTTGTTTTAAAATTGATTGACTGGTTATGTGCCATGAAGTCAATGTTTGCCCTTAGTAATCACATAGATATTCCCCATGACAATCTGTCTCCAACTGGATTCTTCAAGTCTCCAGACAGTGTAGCCATTGCTGCTGTAATGAGCCAATTCACCTTTCTGCTGGTCATTCTCTTCCCTTCTCTTCCTCTAAAATATTTCTTTTAATATGAACATTCTTATTGTGGTTACATGGATTTTATCAATCATTGCCCTGCTCCAGCTGCTGCAACCACACCAAAGGTTACACTTTATTGTTCTAACAAACTCTGCTTTGCATTATCCTAACTAGGACACAGCTTTAAACAATATGAAAATCTGCAAAAACGAATTAGGCTACAAATGATACTGAGACATGTAAAAAATTATAAGTAGATAGCAAACTTGTTTCTTTGCAGTTGGAAGACCATAGCATAGAGTAAAGGAATTCAACAACAGCAGAGTAACAAATGTTCATCTAGTAAGTAAATTAGATTTAAATGCTATTCAGATTTTAAAACTATGCCCCAAAATCATCATACTAATGTTATAACTGATGAGAGACAAAAAAATGGGAAGTATGTGTAGATAATACCTAGCATGCATGGATCTAATTTGCATATTAGATTGAAACTTGCAAACGAGGAAGCAAAATAAAATGTACTTTTCCTGTTTTTCTTTCTCCTCTGAAAATTGTGACATTAAATACAATTCAAATCTTTAGATCATATTAACTACTTGCACCTTTCTTAGAAATGGTGGAAAAGGCCAGTTATTCCAAGATTTACTCAGGACTCCATTTCCGTAGATATATATTCAGAGGTGGGATTCAGTCCACTTGCACCAGTTCAGGAGACCTGGTTGTTAACTTTTTGCCCAGTTTGGAGAATCAGCTAATCCCACCTCTGACTGGCCCCTCCCACCTCACCCCTCCCCTCCCGTCGCAGGAGTCCCCCCACGTGCCCCGTTTTGGCTTCCAGGTTGGTGCAGGAGGCCATTCAGGCAGGGGTGGGTTTTACTTAACTTTACTACTAGTTTGCATCATGCCCGCCTGCGCGCCTTAATCACTCTTTTGGTTCGCAAGCACGGATCACTTATGATGACATCCAGGTAAGTGGGCAGAGCCTCCAGCCAGTTTTACTACCTGTTCTATAGAACCAGTCCAAATCGGGGGCAACCCACCACTGCATCCAGGCCCAAAACTCCTGCTCTAGGGTGAGTTGGGAATGGGGATTTTGCATGATCATTATGTGGCGTGAGTTGGGAATAGGGATTTTGCATGTTCATTACTGTGGGGTGAGTTGGGAATGGGGATTTTTGCATGATCATTACTGTGGGGTGAGTTGGGAATGGGGATTTTGCATTATCATTATTGTGGGGTGAGTTGGGAATGGGGATTTTGCATTATGCTTGCTCATTAGTAAGTAGGAACCAGTAAAAGAGGAATCTTGGCAAGTTTAAGATGGGTGAACTTCATGCTGCCTGAGGAATTCTGGGAATTGAAGTCCATGCACCTTAAAGTTGCCAAAGTTGAGAAGCATGGGTCTACACTAAAGCTTAGGATTTTCCATTCTTGTTTTAATTAGAGTTTGGTGCAATTAAATAAATCAGTTGTGGTTTTGTTAACAAATAGTGATTAAAGCGATATGAACCATTACTGGACTTTTTGTGAGAAACTGAAATTAAAAGTTGATCTGGGCTTTGATGATTAAATAAGGGATTATGGAAATAATGTAGACAAATGTTAATCTTAGAGTAAGAGTTTGATATATATTTTTACTTATATCTGTACCAAAGGAAGTTGGAAGTCATTCTTTTTCAATTTTCCTTCTTTTCCTCTTTCTTTCTTACACTTTCACTCTTTTTCTTTCCTGAGCCTTCTTTTTTCAAATCTGTTTTTTATTTGTTTATCCCTAACTTTGTATTTTTTTGATGTATGAAGGTTCAAATACTCAGCCATTATAATTCGACATTCCTTATTTACAGAAACCATATCACAATTTAGAATGAAATCCATCTCATATAACGCAGGCTCTGAGTCCCTCTAACCAAAAAGTGTTTATCAATAGAAGAGAATATTTGTAGCTCAGGGTTGAACTGTGGGTTCCTTGGTGCTCTCTGAGCTTGATGGTTTTCTCACAGATGTTTCATTACCAAACTAGGTAACATCATCAGTACTAGAAGGGAGTGGAGATTGCTCTTACTTTCATATACTAGTGGCTTACCCTGTCAGTGTTGATCAGTTGCTTCACAAAAAGTGTTTTGAATTAAATTATTAAATTATTATTTAAATGATTTGAATCCCACCACTGTAATATATTAAAGGAGACTTGTACTATTTTTACGATTTAAAATGCTTCAGGTAATGACATCCTAATAGATTATTCACCATAGCACCTGAGGATTTCCTACAGAGAGCAAAACCAGCCTTCTGTGCCTTTTTTTAAAAAAAAAACAGATCCAGCAAATAGCCCTTATATAGATCCCATATTACCCTCTTGTGGGAAAAGAGGAGTTCAGCTCCATGAATTGTTTTTGCTTTCTTGAGTGGCCTCTATGCCTCCCAAGGTATCAGAAATTTATTATCAGCTGCTCTGTTGTCAAGTCTGCAGAGGCTCCACCTCAGAACATCACATTAATAATTCTATCTCCTAAAAAAAAACCACTGGAAAGTTTCAGGCAAGAATGTTGAAATCCCTCAAAATTTTGGAATTCTGATACAAGATCATGGGAATGTGATGACTGAAATCTCATAAGATTTGCTGGTGTCCAGAGAACAACTATTTATATGATAGATGCCAATGCCAAGGCAAGACTATGCAGTGGCACATGAAGATGTTGCCAATCGCTTGCACAACCTAATTTAGAAAGGAATATTAAAAAGGGCAAGATATAACCAGAACAGCAATATTCTGTCAAGTTTTCCAACTCTTTATTTACTTGTTCATTGATTCATTCATTTATCGTATTTAAGAACCACCTAGCCCCTTCACAGGGGGACTCTGGGCAATGTACAATAAAATATTAAAACCATAAAAACAATATGCAAAATACTATAATATATAATGTAGTTTCATCTCTTTGGGTGGTAGCTATAGCTGTGGTACAGGAAAAATGCCATCATGGCATGAAAGAAACAGTACTATTTTACAGCCGAGGGATAGATCTCAGCCCAGATTGCCAATTAACTGTTTCTTATGCTGACAAACAGATGGTTTGCCCAGTCCAGGTACCTGACTTATTCTTTCTTTCTATCCACAGTTAACCAAACATTTGTTGGCAATAGATGGAAGAAAAAGAACCTCCAGATAGCTACAGACTGCATGGAACATGCCCTAATCTCGGCCCACCCTCACAGCCGTTACGCTGCAGGCCGAGATAGCAAATTCTTCTTCATCCCCCTCTCTTACTTGCCAACCCTGTTGACAGATTATATTCTGACATATGGCCACCCCAGACCAGCCAAAAGTCTGTATTGATCACAGACTCATAGTTTGTACGAGAATCAGACTGCACCCACTTCTCATTTAGCAACTACCTCAGTTAAACTGAGCCAATGGACACATTTATGACCAATTTTTACCCACCTGACGATGCATACTAGTGTGTGATATTTGCAGTGTCTCTGTCATGTGTTCACTTAGCAATCATTTCGCTTCACAGACTGATTGTTGGAACATAACAAGGTTGCAAAACAAAGAGATGAGTGTATAGAAATGATGAGACACGTAGATTACAGCAAAATGTTGTAAAAAAAAAAAAATTAATCCACTGGATAAAGGCAAATATGCAGTTCCAAGTTGGATATTTGAGCAAAAAAACTAAAACCTATCTCGGTCAGTAGGTTTAATAAGGAACTGAAATTCATTTCCTTTAAAATTGTACATAAACTTGGACCAATCCATTTTTATATTTTCACAAATATGTTCACTTTTATGTCACTCAAATCATTGATTTGGGGTAGAATATCCTTTAACATAGGATGACACCGGACAACGATTACCAAACAAAAAAGGAGAAAAATTCAGTAGATATGAATAGCAATTTTTGGCAGCTATGTTCCTATTGATCAAGAAATGAAAGGGCTCTGGTTGTAAAGGGTCTGAGGTGGAGGTGACTTCAGAGGACCTTGTGGGATAGCAGCCTGCCTCAGAGAACAGCAGGGAGACACTTGAGGCTGGTTTAGCTGCAGAGCCTGTGAGCAGCTAGAAGCAACAGCAGATGAGGGGGTCTGATTTAAGACCTCCCCCCACATGTCGAAGAAGAGCAGGCAGAGCTGGGAGCTGGAGTCAAGCATGTCATCAGCCTAGAGTTACTACATTCCCACAAACAATCCAAGTCCTCTTCCGTTGACCCTTATCTGGTGCCAATTTAATATTGAACTTTAGTTGACCAGATTCTTGTGTATAGGTTTGAGTGATAAATGTCCTGAAATACAACTTAATGCATGGTCCTGATCCTTTGCCCCTGACACCCCAAGTTCTAAGGCATGAAGGGCTCCACAGAGGAGATCTGCACAGCTCCTTGCAAGGCAATGGCATCCCCGCCATTAACTGCTTGCAACTGGTGCAGCTCTATTTTAGAGTCACAACTAGCAAGCAATCTTTCATGGGCACAACTGCTCCATTTACTGGAACCTTTTGTTTTTTGTGCCCTGAACTCCTGCCTGTGGAAACGATCAGGTGTGGGTTCTACTTACCTTTACTACCGGTTCACAGCGGAGCCACGTGGGCTCTTCAGCACATGCGCAGAAGCATTCTGATGACATTGGGGTCAGTGGGCGGAGCCTCCAGCCGGTTTTACTACCAGTTCTATAGAACCGGTGCGAACCGGGGGCAACCCACCATTGGTAACGCTTCTTTTGAATCTGGACCGGCTGATGACCTATAGTGGCTCTACAAAAGTCTGGATACTGCTTGGATGACATTTCTGCCTACTGCTTAAAACCTTTGCTTATCAGGAGCTTGCTTGTTAAATTTCCAAGCGATTCTGGACTGTTTGAGATTGTGTGTGCATATCCGCATATTGTAGACACTTTGCTGTAATTACTCAAATTTAAGTAAAGCCTTGGACTGGACTCCTTGTGCATGTGTGTGTTATGTGTATCAGACTTTGGACAGGACAGTTTATTCCCAACCCATTATCTTCTAATATCCATCTCTAGCTGAACCTGCACCCTGAAGACTTGCCTTCAGACCGGTTTTGCTTAGGCTTCATTATTATCTATTGTCAGAAGCTGCTGTTGGTTGGGCCACATCACTGCTATTGCAACAGAGCTCTTTGCTGGGAAGCTTGCTGAATTCAGCCATCAGCTCCAAGCATTCTGCATTCTGATCTAGTCAAGACTCAAAATAGCAAATTGTCACATTTGAGAGCTTAAAGAAGGGCACCGATGAAGGGGAAAATTCCCCACATCTCAATTTACAATTAGAGACCATACAATCTGCTCAAGTCAAATTTATTTGAATAGTGATAGGGGCAGACCACAAGGTTCTGCCCACTTAAGAAGGATACAAACAACCTTTATAGAGTCATATAATACAGTACCTGCTGGCCAGGAATGATGTCAAATGCCAATCAACTTACTATGTTTCCCTGAAAATAAGACCAGGTCTTATATTTTGGGAGTCTCCAAAATCAGAGCTTATTTTAAGGGAAACACGATATCATGGTCATCAGCCCGGCAGGGCGCCCCCCCCCCCAGCATACACACAAAAGGCTGTGAGTGCGCAAGGGTCAACATTATCTGGCAGCAGCTGCAGCCTGCTGGCCCCTTGGTCAGTGCACTCCATGAAGTGCAGGTGAGTCAATTACCTGTCCAAGTGGCAGACAGTGGCAGAGGCATGGCAGGGGATGCATACAATCTGGACACACCACACGGGCCACTAGAAAGCTGAAAGTTAGTGGGCCGGGGGGGTGGGGGGTGGCTGCAGGAGACTCATCTTCATGTCTCTTGGTTTTCTTGCAGCCTGTGTGGCACATCTGGATCGCATGCCTCCCCCCGCCTCTGCCTCCTGCTTGGACAGATAATCAACTCACTTATGGTACACAGGCTGCAGCTGCTGCCAGACATCGTCAGCCCTCACCACTTCCAATGCTGGCCACGCCGACCGGCTGATGACGACCTAAACTTAGGCTTATATTCAGGGTAGGGCTTATTTTGGGGAAAACACTGTATTTTTTTATAATAAAGGTTAGATTTTCTGCTTATAGTGAAAATAAGCAGTTCTCACCTCAGATCACCCCAACCCGGTCCCTTTTACCTCACTTGGGTTGGAATAAATAAATTGTGAAGGAGGTTCTGTGCACAATAGACTGTGATCCAATTACGCACACAAATGCACTAAAGCATGCAAGTCGAGAGAGGAATCTTGAGAAACTATTTGTTTTAGTAAAAACACATAAAAGCAAAGCCTACAAGAAAACACCAACAGCCAAAAGCTCTCCTCTTAGCGAAGTCCATCAGCTCTTCATGGAGTCTTCCCTCAGCATAGGGAGTTCTCGGTCCTTTGTCTGCTTCCTCGGGAGCAAGGCAGTGACTCAGCTCTTTTGCTCCATTGACGTGGCTTCAGCCATGGAGGATCTGTGGCGTATAAAAATCTCTATCTCTCTCCTCATCTGTGTGAGCCTGTCTCTGTGTCTCTTTTGGTCTGGGAAAGCCCTCCCTTATATACTTCAAGAATGTCTGTTTGAAAAAGCCCGGGAAAAATTTGAAATCAAATACTGCGGCATGATTGGCCAGTTCAAACTTACAAGCTAATAACCAATCAATAGTTACAGCTAATCCTGAGAGAACTTATCTCTCACATAAGTGAAAATTTGCTTGCTGTGGGTGGGCATCCAGAATGAGCATATTCAAAGAAAATAATATTAGGAGAAAGAGATGGATGAAATTCAAAGCTGAGGAAAAATGGGGACATACCAGGGGTGAAATGCTCCCGGTTCGGAACGGCTCGGGCGAGTAGGTAGCGATGGCGGCGGGCAGTTTGGAGAACCAGTAGCAAAAATCCTTGCCCCCGCCCCCCATGCCCAGCTGAGCAGCGCAATCATCACAGCCGATTATCTTTTAAATGGCTCTGACGATCCAAGCTCTGACGATCCCAGCTGAGTTGCCTGCTAACCGGTAGCAAAAATCCCTTCCCCCCCCCCCAGCCTCCAGCTTGCTTATCTTAGCTGATGGTCGCAATGTCTGCCTTGCTTTGCTTGCCGTAATACCTGCAATCCATTGCATCAGCAAGCAACTGAATCTCCCTGCCTGCAATCAAGCTTATCGGTGAGCAGCTCTATCTGCCTGCCTGCCTTCCTGCCTGCCTTGTACCTTCTATTGCAGGGGTCTCCAACCTTGGCAACTTTAAGACTTGTGGACTTAAAGTTTAACTCCCAGCAAAGCTGGCTGAGGAATTCTGGGAGTTGAAGTCCACAAGTCTTAAAGTTGCCAAGGTTGAAGACCCCTGTTCTATTGGGTAAGTTTTTTTCCCCTTTGGGAGCTTTAAAAAAAATAGTTAATTGGGGTTTTTTTTAGTTGTTCTTTTTTTAGACCTAGCCATTTAAAGTTTAGGAAGTTTTAAATTTAGCTGCTTTTATATAAAAATAAAAATAAATTAAAATAAAATAATATTTGTGCAGCTTTCTGAGATTTAGTGTGTTTCTGTAGTGTTTCACTCTAACTACACAAACACACAAAATCTCACAAAGCTGTATGTGGAATTTTGTGTGTGTAAAGTGTGAAAGTTGTTTTTTTGGCTTTTTGTGGCTGTGTGAGGTTCCTGCTTGTTGCAGGGGCCATTTTGGGTCTAGCACAGCTGCTTTTACATTGTGGGTGAGCCAGTTGTGTTGTGTTGTGTTTTGTAGGTTAAAAAAGGGCAAAGAAGTGACATTGGCTTGGCCACGCCCACCCAGTCACCTTACCACCAAGCCCTGCCCACTAATTAAGCCACGCCCACAGAACCTGTAGCAAAAAAAAATAGATTTCACCCCTGGGACATACAGAAAAGGGTAAAGAACAAGGAAGCTACCCGACCAGATCTGCTGGCACCGACTAAAGATCACAAGGAAATAATTTGTCACAAGGAAATAATTCTGGAATGGGAGCTATAAAAGATAACTGCAAATTAGCAGGTCACATGCAGGTAGCCCTCAATTTACAACCACAATTGAGCCCAAAATGTCTGTTGTTCAGACAT